CTTCCCTCCTCATCCACTGGCTGTGGGTGCGGTGTGGTGTCAGCCTTCTCTACAACAGGTGTCTTGTTTCGATCATATCATCTGATAATTTGATATTTTTCCGCAATAGTCGGATGAAAGCTCTGGCGATGGAAGTAGACGGTGACACAATGCCTGTTGGGGTTGAAAAGGTTGGCTTACAAGCTGACTTGAACATAGTTGCTCCACGGTCCGTAGAAAGGCATGATTAGTCAGCCGATAGAAAGGTTATGGATGCATCAATAAATTATATAACGGAGAAGTACGACGGTCGTAAGGATGCTCACCTAATCGACGACTAAATTAGTTGGTTGGATGTGTACCTTGCTTCGTCCTTATCCACATAGGGAGAAACGGGTGCCTCTTGCAACACGATATATAAGGGGGAAACACTGCAGTGGTGACTCGGTTTATGTAGAAGAGCCATCTGCCTGCAAGTATTACTAGAGCTCAGGCCTGCCGCAAGCCCTGGCTTGTTGGTTCATGGCGCAAGCATTTTATAAGCAAGTCTTCAAAGATGCGAAAAGGCTGAAGCAGAGGAATCTATGAACAGTTTGGCCTATCAAGAAATATGAACCTTTGGCTCGCAGACGCCAAAACCTGTAAGAGCAGCTGCTGATCAATGGTTTACCGCAGATCTATTCGAAGCGTCAAGTCAGATAGTAACAGTATAGGCAGCAACTCAACTATTACCCACCCACTTATTGAGGCTTTCACCAACGATGGACTGGTTTGCGGTTTTAAGAGAAATAAGAGCAAATCGTCTATCTTTCTAGGAAAAGCTTGATCGGAAACTAGAAGCTGTGGACGTCGGTACTGTGTTAACAGGCCTTACCATATTGTGTATGGTGTGAGAGCGGAAGCCAAATAGAACACTCGTTCTAAAGAAGTGCGGAGCGCCCCCCAATAACGCACATAGTTCTACTGCGGGAAATTCGATCGCATACTCCGAAATTGCAAGCGCATGAGAGAAGCCAACGAATTTGAACGATGAGACAGGGATCAGCGGATGCACACCGTTTGGCCAGCAAAGAAGGCGCATCGAGAAAACAGGAAGCCCTTCCCCACGCAGGCTGCAGCGGAGTACATGGGGGCAGAGAGGATAGAGCCGCAATCAAGGATATACCACGGGTCAAATCTGTGTGGTTACAGGTTCCTATTAATACTGCAAAATTGCAAGCTTCATTTTGCTCTGAATGTGATATGGATCAGTTAGCCGACGAGACTACACACAGATGCAATAGGCTTGATCACTCATTAGCACTATTCAAGAAATTAAGTTTTGAAGACAGGCAGCATATTGCAAAATTATGGATAGCTGCGACAGTGAAATGGCACTTTAAAGCGGAATTGTACTTTACCACAATGTTTTGTTACCTCTAGGTTAGACCTGTGCACCGTAGCGCTATCATAGGCGTGCCATGGGCCATCCAACGGGGCGAATGCGTTTGCCAGTTGCATCCTCTGAAGTTTAATGCGCCGGGAATCTCTTGTAAGAAGCAGTTCCTGATCTTTCAAAGAACGCTCCTTATACCTAGTGTGAGCGGGGTAAAGTAGGCTCGGCGGTGCAGCAATAGAAGGCAGCTCTAAGCATGCTTTTCGTATTACTGGCTCTTTAACTGGAAAAGGGAATTCGATTGAACTTCCGGCCGAAGGACAGCAGGTTGAAGCAATCAATAAAGGTGCGTTGGTTGCTGTGCTCAATAATGACGAATTGCGAGCAGGCTGGCCACCTGCTGGTCGTCCACCTCAACTTTTTAAGCTGATGCCCGGGTCAGCGTCAAGGTGTGTTTCGCGCTATCGGAAGCTCCTACAGCAAGAGGAGAGGTCTAAGCGGCAGGCCGATGACTTGCTGTAGAAGGCGAAATGCAAGAGTGGACGAGCGCCTTTAAGCATTACTCGGTCTTCGTGCCGGTAAAAACGGAAGGTGGCACATGGGCATGAGCATCAAATCCGTGAAAAAAGATTACTGCGAGGCAAAAGTTCCTGGTGCCGCATATTGATGAATTAACTTACAGCACGCACTGATTAATAGTGCCACTGACAGACTGCGCAGACAGTTTCATACAAAGCTTTACACACCCTAATTGTAATTATCCAACAACCTTCCACACTTGCACCCACACAGTCGAGTGTACCTGTATGGCTTTTGGACTTGCTAATGTCCCCTCCGAACTGCAACAGGAGATTGATCAGGACTTAAGTGATTGGATCAAAGAGGCGCGGGACGGCTTCCTACATGTACAGTCTCTTGGTCTTCAGCCAACACTTGCAAGAGCACCTACAGCACCTACGCCAAGGGCGCTCTTGCTGTTCCGGGACAAGCAGCTGTATGTGAAGGCAGGCCAGTGTGCACTTTTGATTATGCTTCTGAGGCATCATGTTCTGGCGCTAAATATTGAGCCATATTAGGCAGATTTGACGGCGACCAAGGAATGGCCATTACCGCTACGCATCTGCAAGGACGCTATAGTTTTATGTGGACTTGCGTCGGATTACTGAATTTAGTTTCCAAATATGCTCAGATCGCTGCACCGCTCACCCATCTTTCTAAAAGAATTGCAGTCTTTAACCTGGACAGAGGAGTTGCGCCGCAGCACAGACGCTATTCGGGTGCCGCACAACTCTTCGCTTCTTGCGCCTCCTGATATAAGCGTCACCTCTTCTTTAAGACCGACACAACTAACGTATCAGTGAGTTCGATTCTCTCCCAATACGTTATTCGTTCTCCAAAGTACCAAACTGTTGCTTGTCAATCTCATTGCTTCGCTGAACCAAAACAGCGGAATGCAGCGCGGGAATATCACTCTGCAGATCGACGGTGAATCTTTAATGCACTTTGTGAAGAGTGTGCAAACTGTGAAGACCCCAGAGCTGTGCGCTTACTCAGGCGCCTTTTTCAGTACGACGTTACCTCAGAGCATATTTAAGGCGCCACCAACGCAGTTTCCAGCGACGCGCTCTCGCGACAACCCACCAATTCACTGAAGGGCAGCGCAACCGCTCTCGTCTGTGACGATTCGCGTCTTCGTGATAATTGCTCAAGCCTCATGCTTTAAACACCAATATAGCCGCTAATATTTAAAACAGTTTAGAAGGACAAACAGGCGAAGCACTACCTAGTTGAGGATGGCCTGCTCGTGGTTCAAAAACATACCAGGAACGGAGTTCCTGGTATGTTTTGACTTAGCTCCCATCGTTTTACGCAAAACACATGGTCATGTCGTTCGGATCAAAATAAAATTCACATTACAATGAAAGGCTACACACGATCGTTTGGGTGGCCTTTGATGCGTCCAGTGGAGTAGAAGTAAGCACTGTCATGCCCAGGTTGTCAGCACCTGAAGCCACGCAGTTCTAAATCTGACATTTTACAAAGCCTTCTAGTTCCTGAATGAATTAGGGGTAATCAGGTCATGGACACTGTTGGTTCGCCAAGGGTCGAGGGTCAGGATAGCATCTACGTTATTATTGGCAGACTCAGGAACATGCTCATTTTATCACCTGGTCCAGCTCTGTCGCGGCTCGGGATATTGCTCAAGTAATTTAGACCCAAACCTAAAAGCTCAAAACATTCTCCAGGAGAATTTTTACGTAGAGATATCCGAAATCTACAATTTTTTTGCTGCTCGTATCGCGTGCCTTTCTGCCCCGCCTACACATTGGGTATAATAGAACACTACAAAGCTCCCTAAGGCACATGGACAGACAGAGCGCATCAGCCGCCCCCTTCTGCAGTTTATTACTGTGCACGCACAAGTTCAATTGCTTGGCTAGGGGTTCTTCCTTGTGCTGACTGAGATCATAATGCGACAGCGCACTCGTCTACGAGCTGCTCTTTCGTATCCCTGGTCTCCAAATAGGAGCCTTGCTCCGAATAATGCCTGAGCCTTGTGGTCTGGCATCAGCCTCCGCTTTCAGCGGCGGGGGTTCTAGAGTGGCGCTGGCTAGTGCAAGCGAATGCATCCCAAAATCTCAAGACTGCGTTTGCATTTTGTCTACTTCAAAAAACTCGGAGGGCGCTGGGCTACTAAAGTGCACACATTCCTGCGAGCTCTTCTAACCCCAATGGGCACCACCACCCCAGCCGTCGATGTTGCTGAAGTCGTACGGATGGCCACTTTACTCAAGTTTGAGCAGACAACCCTACTCTGTTGCTTCAAGGCCGTCTTGAATATGTAGCTTGCGGGCTCTAGAGGCAAGAGATTGTTACAGACAAGGGTGCAAGGGCGGGAAGACGTGCCGCTGGCTGGGATTCATCTAAAAGCAACGCAGCCTAGAGCGACACCCTTTCCGGTATCTTGCCGTTCACTACCCTCCGTAAAAACTTCTTGCTGCCTAGGATGAGGAGAGACTACTAGCTCCCCCTCGTCACCATACTGCACACCGTCGACTCTGGAACGAACTGCAGGCCCAAGATTGCGCCGTGAACCGCGCAGCATCGCGAGACAAGCCCCCCACAACTCCATCAAAAAAAAAAAAGACGGCTTCCCTATGCTGCTTCTACTTCCAAAGAAATGCAGCTGGGTGAGCAGCAGAAGGGCTGCGCATCTAAGCAGGCATCCGAAGTGCAGAAGTAGTTGGAAAACGACACAGCGAGTCTGCGACTGAGATCCACCTGCACACCGCCCGAGGTACCGTTCTGCCCGATGGCTCGAAAACGGCTACACCCAAGGGGGCACAATCTGACGCTCCTTCTAAGCGTAGCGCGTTGGTAGCAGTGACGAGGACATGTGACCGAGCACTAATGCGCGGTAGCAGCCTCATGCCAGTGACTACGCAAGTTTGCTAAGAGGTCCTCTTTACATCTGCTGACTTTTGATGACAAATTAGGGGGCCCCTATTACGGAACCAGCGGCTGGACCCTGTGTGCGCCAGCGTTTTCTTGGCTTATGTTACGGGCTAAGGTGGAGTGTATTTGACTCATTTGTTATAATTAGGTGGATTGTTCTCCGGCCACCTCCGCACGATCCAGAAGACGCCTAAAGCCACTGCTTCAGATCTCGCATCGAGCCCACGCGGCGATGCAGCAAATCCCATCCCTCCTCCTCTAAGATGCGTCGGCGATGGCTGTACCGCCGTCTCGCGAGGCTCTCTTCACAGCTAGCCAGTGCAGAGCTAGCCGAGGCAGTAAGTTCCCCATCTGCCCCCTCTCCAGCAGCACCGGTGGAGGCAGCCGCAGCAGCCTTGGCTCTGCTGGCCCTTGCAGCTGCTCGACCTAGCAGCAGTTTCCCTTGCTGACTGGATATCCTCTGCAAGGAATCTTCGAGATCTTCGCTGCTAACGACCCATGCGTCCGATGCAGCGGCTCCTTTATCTGCTGCTGTTGCTGCTCCTTCGTCTGCTGCTCCTGCTCCATCACCTTCCAGGAGTTGGCTGCTCCTCAAGCGACCCCATCTGTGCAGCACCAGAGTCCGCACGAGGGAAGATCTGGCGTTTTCGCGAAGCTAAAGGCGACTGCTGAGATGCACGGGGGGACGTCAGTTTGCGGTAGGCTACCTACCTGTCTGTCGCAACTGCTTGATGCAGCAACACGGAGTAGCGCCGGTGGGGGGGACCGGCTTCCATCAAGCAAGAAAGCGTCTCCTGAAGATCTGGGGGGGCGAAAACAGAGCTCAGGCGCAGCACGTGGCGGCTTGTAGCGTTCAGAAGGGTTTCGGACTCTAAAGAGGCCTCTTTGGCTCGCTTCTGGGGTGACAAGCACAAAGGCACAAAAGCACAACAAGCACTGCTGGCAGTGGCATGCATGATTTCAGGCTGCATGCAGGAGGGGTCTCTGGCGCGTTGGCACGACAGATAGGGCCGTAGATGATTGTTTGCCGTGCCAGAAGAGGAACAAGCGAGAAAAAGGCTGTCGTGCACAGATTGGGGGTGTTCTTGGAAGCGGCGGCAGGGGAAGAGGGGCACACTAAAAGGGGAGAGAAAGTGCTGGATCGTGGAAGCAAAAGGGGTTTTGAATGGAGAATGGAGCGTAGGGAGGAGAGGAAGAAAGGAGAACAAACCAGGAAGCGAGCGAGGCGGGAGAGGTCCTGGGGTTCAAGCACCTCCAGGTGTCTATGGATGAGTCGCGCCAAGACGTCGAAGACTGGGGTGTTCAGCTTTCCGTTCCGAAGCAAGATCTGCAGGCGTGGAAGCGATAGACGTGCATCGTGCACAGAGGAATCTATGGAGTGAACTTTTTGCCGCGAAAGTAGAGCAGAAGGTGCAGCACTTGCTGTAGCGGAGAGAGACGAACTAGAGGGCACCACAGACACTGTCGGAGGTGCCCGCTGTACGCAGAGAGGAGGTGGGCGAGAGAATCAGCAGCAGCAGCAGTGGTGGCAGTGGCTTCACTAACCTCTGCTAGCAAGGCGACGTCGCTAAGACCCCCCCCAGGAGTCTCCTGCAGCGTCAGCACCCTCTCCGCGAGGCTCTGAGGAAGCAGGCACCCAAAAGAAGCAGCAGCAGGAGTCATTCTGCATTCTGCAGCAGGGAGATGCAGTCTGTCGCCGCAGCAGCAAACCGAGGAAAGCAACTAGAGCTCCTGCGAGAAAGCGTGGAGGGCATGCGAGAGCCAAGGTGAGACCGTACTGCGAGCACTGAGGCTTTGAGAGGGCGAGAGACAGAGGATGCCGCGGCAAAAGCCGCAGCACAAACAACCTGAGGAAGGCGCAGCAGCTTCAAGGATCGCGAAGTGCACGAAGAGAAGAGAGACAGTTCAAAATGCCACGCGCAGCAGAGTCGTGAGAGCAACACCCCTCCAAAAGGGAAGAAGAGACAGGACGGTAGAACGGGAGCATCAAAGCTTGCCGCCATCCGCAAGTTGCAGCTTGGCGTGAGTGCAACAAGACACAGATGCAGAAGGCTCTAGCACAGACAGCAAGACGGGGTGGCGTAAATATCACAGGCACACGGTTTAAGGGAGAAGGCAGGAGCAGGAGACAAGGAGAGACCTCGAAACGAAGCGCAAAAGCAGAGCGCAGCAGTGCGAACAGGCATCGGAAAAGAAGAAGCAGGCAGAAAAGAGGGCACTGCTAACCTCTTCCAGTCGCAGTGTAGGGCCCATGTCTCTCAGCACCTCGAGGAGGGCTGCATGCTTCTGCAGAGACACCAAAGAAAAACGAGGTGTGCAGAGCGTGGTGCATGCCTCGCCACTTGTCTCTGAATTTGCCATCAGTTGCTATGCGATGATGCTTTGCGGGGACGAAATACCGCATGCCCCTCTCGAAAAGCACATAAAAGCCATGAAAAAAAAAGGATGCCTCGAAAAGCAGTGTACTGTGCACACGCGAACCGACGCACGACAGCGCCAGCAGCCAGCCGTGCGAAACGGCGCCGAAGCTGCTACTCCTGACTGCGCAGTCAGGCATCCTTCAGGTGAAGTAAACGAGCAAAATAGGTGGATTACAGAGCCATCTGAGGCTCTCTTCCGCACACCTCTCGGATACTCGGCAGATCTGGCGGCAATTGCACCGCTGTACACCTCCCCGTTAAGGCCACACTGCAGCAACAAGCGCCACAGCAACCGCAGTGGCGATCGAGATGCAGACACACACGACAACTTCAAGATGCAAGCGACGAGGCTATACGGAAAAGGGGAAATGAGGCAACGCAAGAGGCGGAGACCGCTTCTTTGCACAGAGGCGGCATTCGAAACGCAACATGGCAAGGCGTGATCTGCAGTGCACGCCTTGGATTTTTGAGCATGGCCAAACTTCGACGGAGAGGGCAGAGAGAAGGACGCACAAAAGAAAAAAGGAGGGAGGCAAACACAGGCATCAAGATATCAAGAAGCATAGAGGCACACAGACAGACAGAAAGAGAGAGACAGACAGAGAGAGAGAGAAAGAGAGAGAGAGAGAGAGAGAGAGAGAGAGAGAGAGAGAGAGAGAGAGAGAGCGCCCGTGGGAAGCACTCTGTAGACGCATCACACCTTTGAGGGCAGCAGTCATAGAGATATCTGTGAATATGCTCTAGAACAGCCAGCAGCAGCTCAACGTCGTTAGCCTTTAGATGGCGCATGCCTTCTAGAGACCTCCCAAGAAGCAACGGAGAGAACATGGCAAAAGGGCGCTCAGCTGCAGACACACTCCAACAAAGCAACAGCGGCAACAGGCTGCACCCCACAAAAAGGTGCGCAGCACTGGCTTGTGAAGCTGCAGCAAAGAGCAGCGAGAAACGGTGCTTCAAGGGCAGTGTGGAAAAGGATCCGTCAGACACACAGCCACAGCTCCCATACGACACACACAGACATGGCGGCAACACAGTCCTTCAGAGGCTTACGGGGAGCCTGTCGAATAGCCTCTTGCACCTGCTTGCTAAGCAACTGCAGAAAGGACCAGTCTCTGTACTTTAGTGCGGCAAAAGCCTCAACTGTAGCAAAGGCACACATATCTAGAAGGCAGCTTTCTTTACCCGCCTCCGACACCCTCCCTTGCAGTTTTCGAGACTTTTGTGACCCCCCTTTTCCTCCCTTCTTCCTGCGGTGAGACTCCCCGTCTACAGACGTCAAAAAAGGGTGCTTGTGGTTGCTGCGCCAGGCTTTCCCATTATGCTGAAAGGTTTGTGGTGTGTGTGTGTCTCTCTCTCACGGAAATCAACGAGCTGCTCCAAAGAAGGCACAATTCCACTGGCTGCCTTCTGTCGCCGCTGCTGCCCTTTGGGTGCTGCTGCAACTCCCGAGGCTTCCTGGATCCAGACTTCATCTGACTTCCACTGCGCAGCGTTTGAACGCCCCTCCTCGCTGCCAATGCTGCTGCCTTTTCCGGGAATTTCGCTTGACACGGCAGCAGCAGCTGCCGCCGCTGCATGCACCCGTCGCTGTATTTCTGCGGCAACGGCACTTACGAGACCATAGTGATGCAGCTGCGCACCTGCATAGCCCTGTAGCAAACATAAACACACTCACAGATAAACAAGGGAAGCACATGCACCAGCAGCAGTGTTTTCCTGCCCATCGCATCAATGCCAAGCATGTCAATACATACACATATATCTATATATATAGATACATCCATGTATATATAAATGCATATACATATATATACAAATACATATATATATATATATGTATATTAGCACAGCACAGAATCAACAGCGGCAGGTGAGTAACCTGAAGCAGCTTGAGAAGATCTCCTGCTGGCATTTCGGAGAGGTATGGCATTGCTGCGGCTGCGATGGCGTTGAGAAGGAACTTGTGCTGCAGCCGTACAAAGCCAAGAGCAGCTGCTGCAGTTGCCAGCTGATGCGGATACAGCAACGGTAACTGGGGCATGAGGTGTCTCGACAGCTTGTCCACTGCTGCAGTGGCTCGCAACTGAGCGAGCAACCAGCACACCCGCGGCAGATCTGCAGCAGAAGCAGCAGCAACGTCAAAGACACTCATGGAAACAGCGAGAACGCGGCATATCAACGCATCGGCAGGCAAAAGATCCCCGAAAAACATCCGTCCCTGGCATGTCGAGACGGCGTTTTTTCGCGGTGTCACCAGCCGCAGTTTGACTCCCGGGAGCAACATAAAGGCTTTAGCAGCGACGGCAGGAATCTCCAACAGGATACTTGATGACTGACTTTCAAACCTTCTGGAGGCTTTGAGGATATCTCGGCAAAGAATTCTGAAGCGGAAACACGAGGGGTCGCATCCCCCCAAGGCTACAAGCCGCTCGAGTGAGTGCAGCAGCAAGAAGCAGCTGCGCGGCTGCACATGCCTGTCGCAATACATATACACACACACAGAGAGAGAGAGAGAAACGCCAAAGCACTGCACTCGCAGGCAGCAAAGGCCACTCCGTCACAAGAAGACGGCAAAACACACCCTGGCGTCTTGCAGCGAAGCCTCAGCGCGTAATTTACGGCGGCTCTACCCCCTGCAAAGGCGAGATTTGCACTAGCTGCAGTAAGGGCACCAAAATATCGCGCAGCGACATCGGCTACGGGCTGAAACAAGAGCACTGCAAGGGAGACTGTTTGCCTGCCTGTCTGACCTGTAGGCTTCAATGACATGCAGCAGCTGCTGCGCGTCCGTAGCTGCGGCGATTCTTTTCTTCCATCTGAGCGTCTTGAGAGATGAGGCTTTGGCAGCGGCAAAGGGAGCCTCATACACAAATCGCATGCGCTGGGTGGCTTCAAGTGCGCGAGGGCGAACAAAGAACTCTCGATATCTTGAAAAGCTGCCTGTTCCCACTCTCTTGTGGAACCGATAGTAGAATCCACGCTGCACAGAAACAGAGCCGTGAAGGCAGCGGCAGAAGAAGTCAGAAGAAGGGCGCAGGGATGGCAGATACATAGCAGTGGCAGCGGAAAAGATTTTTTGCTGCACGGCGTACAGGAGACAGGAAACGGGGAATGCATGCACACAAAAGAGATTTCGTGCAGACAGGAGAGCTGGATCGAAGGCAGATCACACACAGCTCTCCTCTTGAAATATGTGTGAAGGCGGAGGGAGTTTTGAGACGCAGCGGCAGCTCGAACAGCGACAGGCAGCAGCGAGGAGGCAGCAGAGACAGGAGGGAAGCAGAGGAGGAAGAGAGAGAGGGTCAGAAAGATATGGAGGGTAGAGGTAAAAGGGCAAGGGGTTATTACGGGGGGTTGTTGGGGAGGGAGTATGTAAGTGCGAGGTATGTCTCAAGAGTGGCGTCGAGCTGCAGCAGAGGGAAAACTCGGAGCAGAAGCGAAGCTTACCGTCTGTTGGAATCTGGATGCCTCTGACTTCAGTTCTACCGGTGTAGTAATGGCAAAGCCTGAAGCGCTTTGGGAGCTTCGTAAGGCAACAAGGCCAGTGCCAAATAAGCTCCTGCTACCACTGTGAAGTGCACGAAAGACTTTCTTGCCAAAGACTGCCTTACCAATGCCAATGCTGCTGCTAATGCTACTGCTGCTACTGCTGCTACTACTGCTGCTAATGCTGCTGCTGCACCTCGTTGAGGGAACAGACACGCCGCTGCACGTCCAACTCGATGAAAGCGAAGCGCACAGCCTCTGATGAGAGGACAGCACAGCCCGCTGCATTCTGCAGTGCGCAGTTCCCACCGATGCGGAAGAGGCGCGATGGCTGCTACCTTGTGCTGGTACAAGACACGCTGCCTCTATTTAAGGGCAGCAGATTCTGCGCCTACAAGAAGAAGAGGCACGCCAAAGCCGAGTGGCAGCCAGCTGTACAAGGCTGCTCTGAGCACGGCTGCTCCAAGCACGCCTCTCACAGTTCTCTGCCCCTCAAGACCAAGATGAGAGCAGACCACACTGCAGCGGCGAAAGCGATTGAAGCAGCAGCTGTTTGAGTGGCTGGGTGAGGGTGGTACAGGAGGAGAAACTCATGCCTACGCCATAAATCAAAATCCATAGGCTTTTGTCTGCGCGGCACTGATCTACGGAGGAAGCCCTTTCGCTGCAGCAGTGCATGCAGCCATGCCAGAAGAGACTCTCCAGCTCTTAAGGGCCAGGCACCACGGCATTCCCTCCAGCAGCAGCAGCAGCGAAGAAACGCCTAAAGCAAACGCTGTAGTGTGTAAATCGACGCGTTATAAAGACTGAATGCAAGGCTTTTTGCATATTGTTGGACCTTTTAAATCGCAAAACGCGCAGGCAAGCAGCCTCAGGAAGCTTCCGCTGTAGGCCGTTGGTTCGGCGGCGGGGTATGTACAGCGCGAGGCAGCAGCAGCAGCAGCAGCAGCAGTAACAGCAGCTACGGCAGCACCTGCAGTAGCTGGCTCTTTCTGTGTCTCTCTGTCTGTCATATTCCACGATTTCTTTTCGTTTTGCTGCTGCTGCTGCTGCAGCAACACGACCCTCTGTGTAGGTAGCTGCTGTTGCAGCAACCCGCGTCTGGCGGCTGCCGTTGCTGCTGCTGCCGTTGCTGCTGCTGCCGTTGCTGCTGCTGCTGCTGGCGCTGCTGCTGCATGCAGTTGCTACTCGCCGCGGTCTTCTTCCTCAGCACCCGCAGCAGGCTTTATTGCTGCTGGGATACAGCCAGCAGCACTCTATTCTATATGCGTTGAGGCATCCCTCAGCGACAAAAGCACTCAGAGGCGGTGTGCCTCGGTTGGCTTACCTAAGCCACAGGAGCCAACCTGCAGCAGTAGTGGCAGGTGCAGTAGAAGCGCAAAGGCCTGGTGAGGTGTACAGAGGCGTGTATGAGCAGCCTGCGCTGCTGCTGCTGGCGGGAGCACGTCGTGGGAGCTTCCTGAACTCAGCCTTGACGGCAGCCAGAACCGCCGTTGCAGCAGCTAGAGCAGCAGCAGTGGCTGAAGAGTGACTGAGGCTGCTACTGCGCTGTAAGGATGCGATGCAGTATCACCGTTCCGTTCTAACAGCGTGCTGTGACAGCAGCAGCAGCTGTTGGAGTCTCCCGCGATTTGCGGCTGCAGAGGCAGCGGCAGCCCGTGCGATCTCCGCATGCAGCAGCAGCAGCAAAGGCGGCGAGAGCAGCAGCTGCAGCAGCAGGCGTAGCAGCACCGAAGGAAACTCTCAAGCAATGACCCCTTCGAGTGCCTCCTACCAATGCGGCCTGCCTACAACACGAGTCTCTCAGAATACTCCGAGTTATACAAGACGCATTATTGCAGCTGCAGCAGCAGCCTTCAGATTTTGCTTTTATGCTGCGCACCAACGCGAAATCGCCAGGTGCACGGAGGGCAGCGCCAGGTCCTTCTACACAAGCAGCAGCAAGAGCAGCAAGAGCAGCAAGAGCAGCAAGAGCAGCAATAGAAGCAAGAGCAGCAATAGAAGCAAGAGCAGCAAGAGAAAGAGCAAGAGAAAGAGCAGCAAGAATAGCGGCAACAACGGCGTCAGTTGCAAGTTCTTAGGAGTGCGTAGGTGCACACGGCTTCCTTGGGTGTTTCTCCTCTTTGGTGTTGTTCTCTGCTTTGATTTTGCTGCTGCAGCAGCAACTGCAGCAGAATCTCCGACGACGGCTGCCGTTGGATCTGGCGCCCTCCTCAGCAATTCGTCTGTGCCTTCGAGAGAAAGCCTGCCTTTGCGCGGCAGCAGCGCGACGTATGCAGATCTAAGCCTCATCAGAGCATCGTTTTCTGCAGCCTTCACGGATCTCAGGAGTGCTGGCGAAAGCGACTTCGCGGCAGTGGCTGCTGTCTCGGATAGTCTCCCCGAGGCAGCGCTTTCTTCAGCGGTGAAAGGCAAGTCAGAGGCGTTTTCCGTGTCTTCCGAGATGGCAGTTGGACTTCCAGAGATCCCCTCCTCCGAAGACGATACACTGGAGCGGTCAGAGCAGCGTGAAGAGCAGCAGGAGAGGCTGCTGCAGAAGCGGCAGGAGCCTAGTGGGGATGCCGCTCAGAGAGAGCAGATCGTGCAGCAGCTGCAGCAGCTGCAGATGCAGCAGCATCAACAGCAGCTGCTCAACGCACGACTTCAGAAGCAGCTGCTGCTGCTGCAGCAGCGCCAGCTGCAGCAGGAGCAGCATCTCCAGCATTCGGAGCGGCGCAGACCTCATCCTGCAGCGTCTGAGACACAGTTGGCAAACTCAGCACCGCATAGAGCAGCCAAAGCCTACAAGAGTCAACTTCTCGGCAGCAGCAGGGGGGGAGCACGTCGCAGCAGACGAGACCAGCAGCAGCAGCGGCTGCAGTGGAAGCAATACTTTCTGCAGCAGCTGCTGCTGCAGCAGCCTCAGGAGCGGCAGCAGCTGAGCCCTCCTCTGCAGCACCTCGTGGAGGCAGCCTCCTTCTCAGCGGATGTGACGAGTGAAGCGCAGAAGCAGCAGCAACGGCAGCACAAGCTGCTGCTGCAGCACGGGGGGGTTGTGGTGCCTCTCGATTTGCATCGATCCTCACGTCGGAGGCAGCGTCGCAGCGGAACCTCGCGTGACGATGCGGCTGTGTCTCCCTCTAATGTCGGGGAGAATCACGGAGAAGAGAATTACGTAGTGGAATTGAGTGCAGCGGTGGCTGCTGCTGCTGCGGAGCTGTCGGGAAAGGAGCAGCCGCTGCAGCAGCAAGGGGTCGCAGCGGCGAGTTGGGGGGAAGAGGAAGCAGAAGAAGAGCAGCAGCAGCAGCAGCGACAGCAGCAGCGCCAGCAGCAACGCCAGCAGCAGAGGCGGCTGCCACTGCCGCAGGGGCAGTGTATGTCTGCTGCACGCTTCGTTCCGCAGTGCAAGGCAAGGCAGTGCCTTGCGGCAACCCCACACATGTCTCAGGCAAGCAGCAGCAGCAGCAGCAGGAAGCAGCAGACGAGAATGGGTAGGAGGAAGCTTCCTAGAGATGTGGAGGGGCGTAATGGCGCGAGCTCTAGCTCCAGCAGGTTGAAGGCTTCTCGCCGATCGCTGCAGCGCAGCAGCCGACACCCCGATGGAAACAGCAGCAGCAGCAGCAGCGGCAGTAGTAGGAGTCACAGCAGCAGCAGCAGCAGCAGCAGCAGCAGCAGGCCTTCTCGCAATAGGGGCTGGAGAAGGCAGCAGCCCACAACCGGATTGCATGCAGCAGCAGCATGGCGGCAGCAGCGCGGTGCAGCAGCGGCGTCTGCGGCTGCTGCTGCAGCTCTGAGCTCCCTGCAGCTGTCTGCTGCTGCGGATACAGCCTACAGAACGTCAGCGGGGCAGGCTGCTGCTGCTGCTGCTGCCTTCGACGATGATTCTGAGAAGCTCGAAGAGGCAGATCACCACCACCACAGCAGCAGCAGCAGCAGCAGCAGCGAAGGGCTAGAGGCTTCAAGTGAGGATTTGCTGCCGTATCGTCGACGGCTTGAGCAGCGGCAGATGCAGCACCAAGCGCAGCAGCAGTGGTTTCCGCACGCCTCTCCGGAGGAAGAACTGATTGCGTCACCTCCGCTGTCTCTTGCTTCTCTCTCGTCTGAGACGGATACGATCGACAGCGGGGGCAGCAGCGGCAGCAACGACTCGGAGCGGTTTGAGTATGGAGGCGGCAGAAACAGTGGCTTCGCAGCAGAGGCTGTGGGTAATCCTCTTTCGGGGGCAGAAAGCCTCATCGTGCTCGCAACTACAGGAGACATCTTCCGTGTCTCTACGGGGGGATCCTTCAAGTGGCAAAGACATCTTGGAAGCCCTCTAGCTGCTGCCTACGTTGCTGACACGACAACGACAACGACGACTGCCTCCTCCACCAACGGCGCTAGCAACAGTAGCAGCAAGAGAGACACAAGGAACGGCGAGGCTGGCGAGGAGATCCACAGCGGCATCGGCGTAGACACTGGCGGCGCTGGTTCTGCCGCGTCTGAGTTGTCGAGCACTTCTTTCGTGCCCAGAGCAGAGGAAGACTTTCAGGGGGAAGGCAGACACCTGCAGCACCCCCCCTTCGACAGTGCTTCGGCTACTCCTGGTTCTGCTGCTACTGCTGCTACTGCTGCTGTTGCCGTCGCTCCTCCCTCTCTGCCGAATGGTACAGAAGACGCGGTGGCTACGGCAACAGGGCTGACAGCGTGCAGTGGCTGTGTTGTCTTGGGAGCTGCCCAACAAGAGGCAGTACACACCAACCTTGTTTCTCCTGCCAGCGCAGCCGCAGCAGCAACTGCCGCTGCCGCAGCAGCTGCTTCCCACGGCTCTCGCGAAGCTGCTTCTCCGAGTCGTATGCGGAGATTGCTGCCTGGATACGACGGCAGACTCTACCTGATCGAGCCTGACGGCACTATGGTGGTATGTCCTCCCTTTCGCCTGTCGGAGCCTTGGCGCGCTAGGCGGTCTATATGGGGAGGGTAGCAAGGCTTCTCAGGGAGCGACACGCTGCTTCTTCTTTGTTAGAGCGAAAGCAAGGGGGGAACAGAGGGGAGCGTCTTGAGGCTGCTGCACACTTCGCCGTAGTCGACTGTGGCTCGAAAAAACGCAGTAGGTCGCGCCACGCTACGCTTCCAGTGTCGAGACGGGAGAAGCTGCGTTTCCTCACATCAGAGCTACGTGGGGAGTCAAAAATCTGGATTTTTTTTTTTGCAGGCACTGCAAGTCACCGTCCCTCAAGTCGTTAATCGGCTACCCTTCAAAGCGCCGCTTTTTCCTGGAGTTTACTTTGTTGGGCGCAAGGAGGCTCGCGTGCGAGCTCTTGATCTTGCAACTGTATGCTGCCCTTCACACAAAGAGAGCCGCTGCTCGTGCTGCTCATGCTGCTGCTGCTGCTTGTGCTGCTCATGCTGCTGCTGCTGCTTGTGCTGCTCATGCTGCTCATGCTGCTGCTTGCGCTGCGAGATCGTCAAGACGCTGGCGAGCAACTGCTGGCGTCCTACCTGTACTGCAGGCGCCATCGCCGTAGAAAGCGCCTTGCAAAACTTTTTGCCATAGTCTTGCACCTGCTGCTTCTTGTGATGATGCTGCTTCTTGTGATGATGCTGCTTCTTGTGATGCTGCTGCTTCTTGTGATGCTGCTGCTTCTTGTGATGATGCTGCTTCTTGTGATGCTGCTGCTTCTTGTGATGATGCTGCTTCTTGTGATGATGCTGCTTCTTGTGATGATGCTGTAGGGCGCTGACATTCAAGGCGAGCAGCTCGAGGCTTTGAGGAACGAACGGCGACCAGTTGAAGGACTTGCTCCGTTTCTTGGTGAAGGAGGAGGAAGGGAGGCAGCAGGCAGGCAGCAGCTGCTTCTGGCGCAGAGCATCTGGCAGCTGTGGGCTGTTGATGCGCTCACACACGAACGTCTGTAAGCAGCTTGCCGTGTATTTGTGTGTACGTTTGTTTCTTCTTCGCTGTGAGCGTTCGTTCAGCGTGCGTGTGTGTGTTTGTCGGAGTTTGCGTTTTCACGGCTCATTGCGATGCACACGGCGCGATTTGCTCGATGAAGGGCATCCGCATCTGCCCGTTGAAACGACGCGAGCAGCGCGTGTCTGCTGCTGCCTGCGGCTTTCTTTCGCGCAGCCGCGATTCGTTGTCAGTCTCGTGCATGCAGACCTTAAGCGCCGTGGGGGGTGCATGGAAACACGTTCTTTGACGCATAGACTCTTGTGCGGATGATTTGCCTGCGCGACGCTCTTTCTCTCTCTCTCTTTCTGTGGTGGAACGATGGTGGTGGGGACGGTGTTTATCTGCAGGTGGGGTTTCTCGTGGATCGACGTGAGTGGCTTTGGAGGTCTTCCTGAGCCGCCTCGAGACGTCGAGGAAGTGCGCGTGGCAGAGACACTGAAGGCGTCGCTCAGGGCGGAAGGGGACTTGCTGTACATGCTGCAGCGGCATCCCTCGGCGACTGCTGCAGCCACAGACAATCCCGCTGCAGCGGCGCCTTTATTTTTGAAGTTTCCTGCGCCAATTGCTGCTGTGTATGCGGTCACGTCGCCTCTGCAGCAGCAGCAGCAGCAAGATTCGCTGTGGCAGCAGCGGGAGCTGCCGGAGAATCCCACTGCCTATACGCTGCAATTCGTGACTCGCCAGAGGCGCCCTTCGGTATGTGGGGAGCCGTAGGAAACGCTGGAGCAGGCGCTGCGACTAAACTCGAGCGGAGGAGGGGGGAGAAGGGGGAGAAAGGGCTCTGCGAGTGCTTTGCTTGAATCGGCGTCACAGAGAGACAGGCGCCCTCGCTGCAGCGCCGTGAGAGTCAGCGCAGCTGTTTTTCTTCGAGGTGTTATGCGTGTCGTTTGCTGCGCAGGGACTGCCACTGCCTCCTGATCCTTGGCGGGGAGCAGCGGCTTCAGCAGCGGATACTGCCAACACCACTGCCGTCCCCTTTTACGTCTCCTCGCTGCTGCCCCCTCCGCTGCTGTCGGCTCCCCAGCAGCAGCAGCAGTTGGTGCCGCTGCAGTCGATGTGCCTCCTGCAGGAGGTGCTGCCTCCCCGTTCTCTGCAGTGGACCCCGTCGAAGTACGCGCTAGAAACCTCGACGAGGGCGGCGGATGCTGCTCTCGTCGAGGCTCTGGCAGTCGCACCGGCAGCTTCTGCGCCGCTGTACGGGAAGGCGCCTCTGCCTCTCGAGGCGCCTCCGGGGTGGCAGCCGTCTCTGCTCCCCACGGCACAAGAGCAGAGGCTCGGCGGCAGGCAGCAGCTTCCCTCCACTGTCTCGCGAGAGACTGAAGGCGAGAGGACCCCCTGGTGGCCTCATTTGGAGCAGCAGCAGCGGCAGCAGCAGCAGCAGCAGCAGCAGCAGCAGCAGCAGCAGCTCCCTTTCGACCACCCCCTGCCTCGGCCCTTCAACCCCATCATGTCTCCCGTGCTAGGCATCCTGAAGCGATGGGTGCAGCGCGTCTTCCACACGGATTTGGGCAGCAAACAGCAGCAACAACAGCAGTGGCAGCAGGCGCTCCCGACCTCCTTGCAGCTGCAGCAGCACCACCCGTGGCGTCACTATCGCAGCCGCTCGCTTCATCAGCAGCACCGTCTGAGCGAAACGCCGCAGCAGCAGCGGCAGCAGCAGCAGCGGCAGCAGCAGCGGCAGCAGCAGCAGAAACAGGATGAGGACGGGGAAACGCAGTCTGCGGATGCTGCAGAGACGCTACCTGCTGTTTTGTGGTTCGGGTGTGTCTTCGCCGCCGTCTCCGTGATGCTTTCTCTCCGCGCTTGGCTCAGCAGACAAGCCTTCGCGAGAGGACTTGTCAAGCGATGGCGGCATTTGCAACGCTGGCTAAGACGGGTGCTGCAAACGCAGCAGCAGCAGCAGCAACTGCGCAGCACCGGAGACAGCAGGAGCAGCGGTCTTATGAGCTGCAGACCGTTGCTTCTTCCCCATAACGAACTAGAGTCCAGCGCCTCGCCATCCCTTGCTGCGCATGCAGTCTTTCCGGGGAGAGGAGCCTCGGGAGACATCATTTGGAGCTGCCGAAGCAGCAGCAGCGACAGCAGCAGGAGCAGCAAGAGCAGCAGGAGCGACAGCAGCAGCAGCGACAGCAGCAGCAGCGACAGCAGCAACACGCGCTCCGAGAGGGCGAGTAGAGCCGGCGTAGAAGGCACGAGGATGCGAAAAGGACGCGGCGACACACGGCGCTTATTGCGGACAGGCATTACATTCGTCTCTCCGATTCTGTCGACGCGTCTACGGCGGAATCTCGCGGCGAGTAAGAGCAGCAGCAGCAGCAGCAGCAGGAGCAGGAGCAGCAGCAGCAGGAGCAGCTGGAAGGCGTGCAGCGCTGGGGAGGAGGAGCGGCGTGGAAGCCGTCACAAGCGGCGGCTCACCAAGAGACGTGGGGCAGCGAAGAAGCTGGCGAGTTCGTCCTTCCATCTGTCGACGCCTCAGTGGCGCCGAGAGGAGTTTTCTCTGTGCACCAACGCGCAGGAGCAGCTGCCGAGAGAGCTGCAGCATCAGCGTCTGCCTAGTCCTCTGCAAAGACGGGGAACTGTGGATGCGGGTGACAATCCTTGGTTTCAGCAGCAGGGGAGTTCAGAGGCAGTTGGGCTGTCTCTGCCCTCCGTCTCTCCTCGCCAGTTTGGCGAAGACACCCCTCCCGTTCCCCTCCTAAGGACGGCAGCAGCCACAGGCGACAGCTCCGTCCCTTCGTCTGCGCGATATCCCGTCGGTGCGGCAGAGACAGGAGCTCCTTGGTGGGTGCGACCGCTTCCCATGAGAGCTCCCCAAGAGGGGACTGCCGAGCCTGCTGCCTTCAGACGCGTTGGAAGATCGTGTGCCTCGCTCGAGGAGATTCTGCTGAGCGCCGCTCGACAACGACGAGCCTGGATCCTCGACGTGGGCGTCTCTCCTCTGCCCTTCGCCGACCTGCAGCGACTGCAGCAGCTGCAGCAGAAGCGGGAGAGCAGCTGGCAGCAGTCGGAAGAAGCTCCCTCACCGGCGGCGTCTACCCCGGAGGGTGCGGCGAAAGCAGCGGCGGCGGGGGGAGGAGGAGGAGGGGGCAGCTGCTTCCCTGCAGGAGGAGGCTTGCCTCTCGCGGCTAGCCCTCCACGCGACGCGCCTGAGCCTCCCCTCGTGCCTTCTTCTCAAGCGCAGCCAGCGATGCAGCAGCAAGGTGGCGTGGAGGCAGACTTGGAGGAGCAGGGGCAGGCGGAGAGTGGGGACGAGCAAGACGGGGAGAGCCTCGTGAGGCATCAACGTCTCGACACACACAGCCTCGAGGACGACACGGGAGCCACCTCCGGAGACTCGCTCAGCCTGTGTGTGTCGTCGTTGTCGCCTCCCGTCTCTCCCGGCATTCCAGCGCGCTCAGCACTCCTCAAAATCCTCGAAAACGGAAAATTCGCAAGAACCTTCGCCATCGAAAAGCTGGTCGGCCGTGGTGGCTTCGGCACAGTTTATGAGGTGTGTTGATTCTTGAGAGAGAGAGAGAAAGAGAGAGAGAAGCGTCGCACAAGAAGAGACGCTTCTCTCGACACGCAGCATGGTTTTTCTCCGCGATTTTTAGAACGGTTTGCGAGAAGGGGAAAGGAAGGGAGTAGTCGGGGGGGGGGGGGGGGGGGGGACACCGCAATCACCCCGTCGCCCGGCACCGCTTCCTCTGGGGGCGGGGCCCACGTCAGGGAGAAGGTGTGGCTCTCGCGGCTGCCCGTGACAGAGAAGAAAAAAAGCACGAACGTCTCACTACTACCCTCCACCAAAGCATTACATCGTCTCCGGCTCATCTATCGCCCTCACC